TGTTGATTATTAAAGTTGTGAGTTATTTTCTTAACTTCTTCCCTTGAATAATTCTTCCCTTAATCTATCTCTAGATTAATGTTGGGGAGTGTTGCTAAGATTACAATTAGTTAACATCTCGACATTAATTACTACTAGAAACGATCAACGAACCGATGGTTAATCGTTGATGGTTTCACAAGTAAGTAACTTCGGTTTATTAATGCACGGTCGTGGTTAATAAACTTAAGAGAGGTTAATTGTGTTGGTTAAACCGAAACCGTTGTGTTGAGGTTATCAATCTCAATTGATTTCATGAAGGAGTTAAGAGATTAAATGCTACTATTAAATCGGTATACGGCGTTGTTCTATATTTGATTAATAGTAAGAGTTATTAATGAACGGACGTTGTTAATAACTACCCTCGATGAATTGGAGATACTCCTCGATTGAGTATTCGAGAGGGGATAAGTTATAGATATAACAATGATCGGCTAAATATATCAACAAGTGGAAAGTAGCAATGCGAAGTTCTTTTTATTCTTGAATTAAATCACATATAAGTCGTTCATCTTTGTGTTTAATTAAATTAAATCACTTAATCCTAAACCCCCCCTTTTTATTTACTAGTTTTATTAAAAAGAGAATTATTCTTTTCCCTGTGGATACGAACTCTACTTCAATATACTACATAGTAGTGCTAGTATTGAATTTATTTTGACGCACTACAACAAAGTGCTCGTCAGCATCATCGGAAGCTCAAAAGATGTGTCCAAGAAAAAATCCGGAGCGACACAATGCTCAAACTGCACCATAGAAAAGTCTTTTTCTTCTCCACAAATATCATGAAAATTCGCAACCTCTCTTCTAGACTCTATATCACTCCCCATGTGAGCATCCCAACTCTCGCTAACACCGTTATTATCAATGTCTTCTCGGATGATGTGGTCATCATTGATAAAAGGAGGATCATCCTTCGACGGTGCATCAAACAAATCCAGATCCGAGACAATGCACGAGTGAACATCTGAGTACATACATGGCGGGTTTTCTTTTGTGGAGAGTGATGCTTCTTTATTGTGATCAATTCCCTCAAGGTGCTTCCCATCAGTAGGCATGACAACCTCGACTTGTTTACTCTGATTAGTTTCCATGGCGCTAGGATGGGATCTCTCGGACTCCTCAGATAGGGCGTTTACAAATTGATCCACATGATTTTGTATGATCTGAAGACATGTTGCACTTGTTTGCATAAAGTCCTTGAGTGTTTCTTTCAAGTCACACATCTTCTCTGAAATTGTCTTCTCCAATTGATTTTGTGGCTCATAACTCGGCAAGGATGTAGGAGTGGTTGAAACATTTGTGTTCGTAAATTGTGGGGAGGAAGAAGTGGGGTATGCAGTTGCCCAATAAGGAAGGTCATATGGAGTATTAAAGGGGCAGAGACATAAATGGTGACCTCCTCCACAGAAGGAACAAATGCTATTCTTAAAGTATTCAGATAATTCCTCAAGAGTTTTAGATTAGAGAAGATATTCAAGAATGGAGCATGGTCTTACTTTTACCCAAGGGTATTGTGATGAAGGATAGTAAGAATCAGATTAAAAGAGTTGCGTGGTTGGAGAGTACGGATAAGAAGGTTGAATATTTTGTAGTGTAGGAGAGTAATATTGATGAGGAGTGTAAGGAGGATAGGGCGTATATGGTGAATACTCTGTGGAGGTTTGAGGGAATGGTGTTCCTCCAGGAATTGGGCTGAATGGGTTCATCTCATTCCTCTTAAGAACAAGTATCTGAAAGGTTAGCACAGAAAAATTCTACGGAAAAACTGAAACAAATCGCTGAAATTAATTAATCCTTAAAACTGACAACGTCCCAAGCAACGGCGCAAAAAACTGATGTGTGTTTTCTCGCACTTAAAATAGATCGTAGTATAGGGTGTAAGTACGAGTATCGTCTCCACAGGGACGAACAAAAGGTAAATAAGAATTAACTAAATTCAGTGATAAAACAGAAATAAAATAAAAAAACAATTGTGCGAGATTGATGGTTGAAAATTAAATTGCAGACAATGGAATAAAATAAAATTGGTTTCTCTCTGATTAACGACGAAGGGAACATGGATTGATTCCGGGGTAACAAGATTTCTGGCAGATCAAGCTTAGTTACATGAAATTAATTTAATTGAGCCTAGCTAATCATTACTAAGATCTTACCGCTCTCGTGGCGTAGAGTACAATAATTTAAGGGACCAGGCTGATCTCTCGTGCGACAAGATCCTAAATTATTGCCAAGACGAGCAAGCTTACGGCCCCTTAATCGCTACTATTCTCTTAGCAAACGATTAAGTGTGTGTGGATGTGTCCTAGAATAAACTAGATCTCTCTTAATTTACTCTACAAGCAATTGTAATTCTAGCGGCCGATCTAGGTTACAAGAGATATCTGTTAAATTATTCAGACACAAATTAAACGACATTTATGCAATTAAACCATCAAGAAACTAGCCATACATCATGATCAACCCCTTCATCAATCTCAAATCCCTAATTAAACTACTCACAATTCATAATTGAAGAATCAACATAATTGGGATGAATAAAATTAATTGTCATTAATTAAAAAGATTGAACTTACAAATAAACTCAGGGTCTTGAAGAACAATGCATAAAAACAACGTAAAACTCGTCCCTAGGCCTCTCTTTGAAGTTCGTAACACTTAAACAGGAGAATAGATGTCTTATTTATAGAAAACAAATGAATTTGGGGTGAATTAGGATTGCAGGGTCGCCTGCTCGGCGTGCGGGTTAAGTCCGCTCGGCGTGCGGGTTAAGTCTGCTCGGCGAGCGGGACTTCCAGGGATCACAAATTCATCCCGCACGGCGAGCGGGAAAGGTCGCGTGGCGTGCGGGTTCAACGCCCAAAATTTCCGAACTTCTGCCACCTCCGCTTGGCGTGCGGGTTCTGTCCGCTGGGCGTGCGGACCTTCCATCTTGATTTTTTGGCCGTTTTTCACCCCTTTTTGCCCGTGATTGTACCCGTGCTCGATTCTTTAGCTCTTTTGACTTCAAATCATCATCTTAAACCTCCTGGTGACCTCCAAAACTATCGAGTCACTCTCGAATGCTTCTCAACTCGTCCCGATTGCTTCTCAAGCGCCGGTGTCGGGCTCAAATTCCCTGATTTTGACACCAAAAATACCAAAACTCGAACCAATGCCCGATAAAAATAACTTGAGCTAAAATTGAGACTTGTGACACCTTAAAGCTAGAAAACCCAATAAAAGCCGATCCCAACACACATCAAATGCGTGTTGAAATACGGATTTACCAGTCACACTCAATCAGACCACTTGTTAGTCTAGCGTGAACCAGATCGAACCAAATTGGTTAAATAATACTATAATTTATTAAATTGGAACACATTAAATTGTGAAAATACTTGGAAAACTAATGATATTTGTTTATGATTTATGAGTTATTTGTTTTATTACAGTTATTTAAATCACAAGACATAAAGGAGCGATGAGGACATAAAGGAGTATAAAGAGGCTAAAGAGGTTAAGAAAGTCATGAAAGAAGTACTAGAGAAAGCGAATAAGGAATATAATTATATGTAAAATTGAACTCTAGAATTGAAAGAGTGAAAAAGATGTTTGTAGACTTGATTGTCTTCATGATTGTAGGACGCACATAAGCCACATATTATACGAGTTGAGAGGTGGAGAGTGGAGAGAAGAGAGAGGGAAAGACCTAAAAGGGTATGAATGAGAGGAATCAACAATGATATGTTTCTTCTTTGATTAGATAAAAGCATAATTCTTATAAAAGCAAAGTAAAGAGTGAATATTTGTGGATGATTAATCTCTTTTCATCACTTTTAACCTTTTATGTGTTTATCTTCTTTATCCTTTTATGTTTTCTATCTTATTTCTTCTTTTTTATCTATCTTATTTTTTATGTTTTTAGCCCGACTTCATGTGTCCATTCATTTTTTAAATAGTTAAAGAGATGGACTATCATATGGATTATGGAGTACTTTTTTTTTAACAAGAAAATCAGTCATTTACTAATAATAATGAAAGTAAACAAAAACAACGCAAAGCAATAACTCAGAGCAACTGAGATAGAACTACCCAGTTCCGGAAGGCCAGACCAGTTCGCTAACTCCGCACAATGGTAGACTATTCTATCAGCATCACTGTACTTGCTACTAAGACAGAAATATAAAAATTGGGGTTAAAGTTGAAACAAAAAAAAAAGAAACACAAGTCCTGGTTTTACCCGCCACCAGCAAGGGAGAAGATGTTTGATTAGCCACATCTAAAGACGCCATTCCGATTTTGCCAGCTATCGGGAAGGGAGAAGAGGTTTGCCCATCCACCTCCAAAGGAAGCACCCCGCTCACAAGATCTAAAAGAATTTCAAACGGTTTTGGTCCAGTAGCACCGCTGCAGAACCGTTTTTTGGTTTGATTCCATCAACTTCCATATACTGACCTCTAGCACTTGGATCGTGGCTAGATTTCCTAACCCGCGGTAGTTCCGGCACACACAGCCCATCCAAGCAGTCACCACACCTGACTGGTCAAAGCTAGCGGGGACAAAAACACCCTACAATCGAGGGAAACAAAAACGCCGGATAGCTACCTTGCACGTTGATCTCCTTAGCAAGCTACTCAAAGAAAGATCGATCGCGATTGTCTCCTTTAGGGTTGGCGGCTCAAAAAACAAAGTACTAGTAGTTACTAAACCTCAATGGAAAGTCGAATTGGAGATTAGGGGAATGAGAGACAGAGAAGATTCAATATTTTTGCTTATTGAGTACCTACTACATACAATAGTCCAATTCGAGCTCACTCAACAACCCCATCATTATTGATATCAATAGTGCTTTGGAACTTTTAACAACATATCACAATAAGCTACTTTATGAACCTATTTTGTACACATGATTTCTCAATCATCTTGTTTCCGTTCCTGCAACCAATAATAGTCTAATTTGTTGAAAACAGATCATATCATAGTACATGTGTCCAAAGCTTTAAATGTTTTTTTATTGTATGCTGTGAAATACTCCGTATATATACAACAAATTAAAACAGCCATTTCTGATTTGATTGACCATATTCTTCTAATCTTCTGAATTTTGCAAGTTAAGTGTAAATCTCAGAATCATGTGGTCAAACATGAAATTGACATTAGGGAAGACTCAGTAGAAGAACAGGGGAAAACTTTAGCTATAAGGTATTAAGGTCTAATAATTACCACACAAAATAATTACGAAGTACTATTATAGTTTAAAGGGTATTCAACATTCATACATATTCCGGCGGTCTACGCCGGAAAATCACGCGGAACCGGGACGACGGTGGCGGTGTCCATCAGATCCCTATGCATAAACCCATAATTCCTAAGCACCTGGTTGTCGGCAAAGTTCAGAGCTTTATGCATTGCCTCGCCGCAGGTCTCGCCGGAATACATCTGGTTGTGGTTGCCGCTGCACGGCTGGCAGCCGGTAAAGTGCGTGATGAACGGTCTCCTCCACCCGGGCCTCCCGTACCCAGCATCCTTCAGATGTTCCTCCCACTTCCGGCCATAGCTCTCGCTCACCTTCTCGGCGTGTCTCCGCCGGAGTTCCCTCGCCGTCTTCTCCACCCCCAAATACATGTCGGTGATGTTGTCCAGTTTCCCGACAATTTCCAGCCAGTACCCCTCGAAGTAAAACTCACTCTCCACATAAATCTTGTCTCCCCATTTTTCCTGCTCCTTTAAAATCAAGTATATCAGGCCGGACTGGTCGTCGGACTCCCGGAAAGACTTGTCCTTGAACGTCTTCCTCTGAATCTCGCCCCACCGGTCGTAATCCGGCGACTGTGGGCCCATCTTGGCCCAAACGTCCATCAAGTCCAACGCCCATTGGGAATTCCGGATCAGAAAGACGCCGGCGTTGACGCTGGTCCAGCTCCTCTTCTCTATCTGGTCCCGCCACCCGTGGACCACCATGTTGTGGTCCTTGTACCGGTCGAGTGGCAGCTTGAAGTCCATGTCGGTGAAAGCGGCGTCCGAGTCAACCCACCAGATCCACTCGGATTCCGGGTGAGCCATCATCGCCGCCCGGACCGCCGGCACTTTAGCCCAGAAAGAAAACATCTTGGGATGAAGAAGGACAGTGTTGTAGAAGATATCGTGGCCGTGAATTCGGCAGTAATCCACCTTGTTCTTGAACAGCCGGAGTAGCAAATGATCTCCGATCTTGTTCTTGCACGGCGTCGCCTGAGAACCGGTGACCACCAGAATCCGATTCTCCGACCCGGGAATGAAAGAGGGGTGTTGCTTCAGCCACTCCCTCCTCTTCTCGTCCCAGTTCTTCACGGGCTTGTCAATGGTGTACCCGAAATCCGGGTCGTCGTAGAAAGTCTTCGCCGGTGGGTCGTCGGTGAGGTCAACGCCCTGCCCAGAGCCTCCAAAGCAGCCTCGCCCGCCGACGACGCCGGAGACACTGTTTGAGAACCCGCGGCTGAAAATTGGGCTTGGGGTAATAAAAGACCATAAGCTCCACAGGACAAGAAATGCAAAGAGTGTGCCACCGGTGCAAAGAAAGGCATCGGAAAACACCCCGGTTTTGGTCCTGTTCTTGCCGGAAGCCATTTGAATCCGGCCCATCTCAGAATACATCCTCTCTCTTTCAATCAGAAGGTTTTTTCCATAAAAAAAAGTGGGATTTACTTTAAAAACACGGATTTTAGAAAAGAGATTGAGGAAATGGTGTTCAAGATGAGAACCTCTTTGTCTTCACCGGCGGACTGAGAGGGTGCTTAGGTCAATTCAATATATTAAGGATACGTTATTAAACGTGAGGAGTGATGAAAGGAGTAGGGTTTTTTCCTGACGTTACGGTGGCGGTGGGTCCCAAAGCACCCGTCGAAGGACACGTGCCTTTGTTACCGACACCAGTCGTCGATAATTCATGGCTGTGTCTGTAAAAGATTTCGCAGAAGAGCAGAATAAAAACCCTTCGATTGTAAAGTAGGGCCCGTTACGTACTATAGCCTTTAGAAAAGCTCATAAATTGGGCCCGTTAAGCAAGGGTGAGTCATGAGTGTGAAAATTAACTTAAATGAAAATGTTTAGTACGGAGTATTCCTTGTTAGGGTTGTTTGGAACATATTCTACATTTTTTTAAAGTAGAAGCAGAATTAGTTTTTAGAAGTTGGTCGTCTCCATCTTCTAGAAAAACTGATTCTAGGATTAAATTAGAGCATCAGAATCACTTCTACACTTTTACTCAAACACTCCAATTTCTGTTTCTGCTCCCTGAAGGAGTAGAAGCGGTTTTAGAATTAGATCCAAACACCCCTTACTTTAGCTCATTGACTAATGGGATAAATGCTTTTTGGGAAAATTGGCACGAGCAAAAAAGTTTTGCAATTACAAAATGAGATTGTCATATATTTATTTTTTCAATAGGAATGATTTCTACCAAATTTGATATTATCAGGTTTTAAACATGACAGTTTCTGCCAAGTTTTTTTCGAAACTTGACATAAATTACTCTTATTTAGGAATAAAAACATGAAAACCCTATTTTGAAATTTCTAAACGTTTTGGGAAAATTGTAAATTTGGTCCTCCAATTTTCACGAAAAAGTCAATAAGTTCTCATACTTTTTTAAAAAACCAATCAAATTTCCTAACTTTATAAAAACGTTCAATTGAGTTCATAGCAAGTTACCCGTCACGTCAACAAGTCACCTGCTGGCGTGGCACACGTGTGGCAACCCAGTCAACACTTACTTTGCTGACGTGGTGCACACATGGAAGCATAGTCAGCGATTTATCGATGACGTGGCACACACATGGACAGTCACGTGTGCGCTACAATTGCGGGTGACCTGCAGACGTGGCAAGAAACCTGATAATTGACTCAATTAAACTTTTTTTCAAAGTTCATGAATTTGATTGACTTTTTTAAAAGTGTGAAGATGTAATTGATTTTTTTATGAAAGTACGAGGACCGAATTGACAGTTTTCACAAACGTTTTTACTCCTATTCAAGGCAATTTCGGATTTTTTTAGGAACTCATTTTCTAACATTGAAATGCTTGAATAGTTTGATTTTGTTGAAATTGATAAAGTTCTGGCAGAAATGTCTGAATCTGAAAGAAAATTCATATTTAAAATATATTTCATTAATAAAATAAAGCAAAAACTATATGAAAAATAAATAAAATGACCCTCTAAAATAACTTCAGCGTGCGAAAAGTAATTGCAATTTAAGTTAATTTGATTATTACACAATTCAACGTGCAAAATCAAAAGTTATGTATTTGATGAAAGAGTGATTGATAAACCTTATAAACCGCAAATAGGATCAACAAATGAGCTATACAGTGAAGTGGTGTTTGAAAGAGCAGAAATGCTAGGGGTACACAACTTGTACACAAAATGTCGGTCACAGACAATTGGTATGGAATTGTCTGTGGGCACAAACAAGAGTTGTCTGTGTACACAGACATTTACTTTTTGTAAAAAGTACACTGACAACCACCTGACACTGACACCAGCTTGCAAATCAATCAATATATGTGCAGTGTCTATGTGCACAGACAATATGTTGCACAGACAATTATTTGTCTGTGTGCACAGACAAATTTTACCACATAGGCAATAGTTGTGCGTTCCACAGACAATAGTTGTCTGTGTGATCAACTTTAGTTTTCTGTGTGATCAATTTTAATTGTCTGGGTGAACAAAAAAATTAATTTTCTTTATACATCCAAATAAATGATGTAGTTGTATGTGTAATCAATTTACATTAATTTGAATAAAATTAGAAAAATAATAATATATATATATATGAAATAAGATGAATAAGTTGATTTTGTGCAAATAATGAAAAAAAATTGATATATAAAGGTAGAGAAAAAGATGATTAAGAAGGAAAGAGGGGGATGAAGAAGATAATTTTTTTGTTGTTTAGAATTTTAGAAGAGATTGGGTAAAGAGGAAAGAGAGAAGGGAGAGAGGAAGAAGAGAGAAGGGAGAGAGAACCCAGAGAGGGAGAAGAGGGGGGGGGAGAGATTTTTTTTGTTTTGCTTTTATACCATGTACAACTTGTGTACATGGTGTGTACACTAAGCATTAGATAAAAAAAAGTTAGGTAAATTGGAAAATGCTAGGGGTACACAAGTTGTACACAACTTGTACACGCAATGTCGGTCACAGACAATTGTTACGGAGTTGCCTGTGACCACAGATAAGAGTTGTCTGTGTACACAGACAAATTTTGTCTGTGTCCACAGACATTTACTTTTTTGTAAAAAGTACACTGAGTGCCGCCTGACACTGACAAGTACTTTTCACAAAAAGTAAATGTCTGTGGACACAGACAAATTTGTCTGTGTACACAGACAACTCTTGTCTGTGGTCACAGGCAACTCCGTACCAATTGTCTGTGACCGACATTTTGTGTACAAGTTGTGTACAACTTGTGTACCCCTAGCATTTCTCTAGGTAAATTAGTCATTCTATGATGATATGGATATAATGAAAAAAAGTACATATAAAAGTAACTATTATTTGTGATTTCAAAATGGCATGGTTTTTTATACAATAATTAAATCCAATAATTTGAGTAGAAATAGTTTGAATAATGTGTAGACAATTGATGAAAATTGCGGTGTATTGGGTTTAATATGTGATGATTGCATCATTACATGGTCATTTAAGATAGTTATTATTTTATAAAATGGAAATTTCAAAGGTAGCAAGTGAAAACGTTTACTCAGTCCCTTTTGATTAATTAAAGTCAGACTAATGAGATCATGTGGTAGGTTGGTAGTGATTTTATACACATTTTGGACTTACAAGCCAAAGTTCATCTAACAATCGAGCTCTTACTTTGCTATGTTAACTCAAAACACTGCAATGCTTGGGAATTAGCAAAGGATAGAAATTAAAAGATAGAATTCCCTAAATAGGAGTAAAAACGTTTTGAAATTCCAAAATAGGAGTATCATGTTTTTTATTCCCTAGATAAGAGTAAATTTCTGCCAAGTTTGGCATTACAAGGCTTTAAACATGACATTTTTTTCCAAACATAGCAGATTACTCCTATTCAGAGAATAAAAAACATGATACTCCTATTTTGGAATTTTAAAACGTTTTTACTCCTATTTAGAGCAATTTCTAAAATTAAAATCGAGCCGAGGCGGATCTAGTCTGCTCAATCAGGCTCTCCGACGGATTGTCAGGTCTGGATTACAACTTGGGCTATGGCGATCACACATTTTCAACTTAATTTCCTTCAAAAAAAATTCGGGCAAAATCTCATTGGTTTAACACTTTAACTTCAATAATTTAATCTGTTCAATAGCGCAAGCAGGCAATATACTTGCTTTTTATTATTAGGTGACATCGTATGTTGTCACAACTATCTGAAAAAATGTCTTTCGAACTTTTTTATACGTAGTATTTGTTAGGTTTAGGAGACTAAAAAATTCTCAAAATGGAAAATTTTGTAGTTATTTGATAACAAGTACTCCCTCCGTCCCAGAAATTGTCCCCGCATTGACTTAGATCGGAGTTATGTAAGAAAAAGGTAAATGAATGTGAACCACACAAAACTTTCCAAAAGGAGAAAGTGGAACAATTTTTTGGGACGGCGCAAAAAAGAAACCGGGAACAATTTTCCGGGACGAAGGGGGTATTATTCATAGTCATAGTAGCTTCTCACAAAACTTAAAACACTGTTAAAAGTTGTGCTAAATAAACAACTAAAAAAATTTAGAAACTTTTTAAACAGTAGAAAAGCCAAAAGGCAAAAACTTAAATCTATCAAACATGTCCATCTAAATTATTAAAAAGAGAAGAAAAGTATCAATCTCAGTTCTAGACAAGTCTATTTGTTTTTTTTTTATTCTTTTTTTAGTAGGTTTGTTTAGGTGAGTTGCTTAGGAAAATGGGTTTGTTCATCCCCTCCTTGTGGGTGGCATGGATTCATAAAACATAAAAATTCACATTGCATCATACACTCAAAATTGTGAACATATAACATAAAAGAAAAAAGTCATCATAAGTTATTTTCTTTCCAAAATGTTGAAATAAAAAAAAGTTAATTCCTCACTAACTAAGTACTCTCATGATTTTGTAATTTTGAAAACACTTCTAAGTTCTAACCTTTTAGTTTGAGTTACTTTGCATATAATCTTTTAGGTCTAATTGTTCTATGACCAATCTTTCTATGACTAGCAAAAGTTTAACAAAAAGTGAGGCACTCTTTTCACTTTGTCGGGTCACTTTATGATATAATTTATTCCCACACCGGCATCATAAATATTTTGAATTTTTTTATAAGTTCACTTGAAACAATATAGCTTGCATAACATAGCTTGTCATTAGAACCAATGACATTATTTGGTTTCAACACAATGTGCCCGGGAAACAAAATTCTCACAACTCTCTAATATTAGTATGTTAAATACATATTAATATTCGAGAGTTGTGAGGATTTTGTTTCCCGATAACACTGTTTTTGAAAATCAACATTTTTTTGTTGATTTTAATAATATCTTTCTGAATCTGTATCATAAGATCTATCCTAAGAAAAAACCCGACTAACATAAATGAAATCTGAAAATCTCTACTTGATAAAATACAACTTTAAATCCGATTCTTTGCAACTTGTAATTGTGAGAACACATCATTTTTGTATTTACACTTTAAAAATCTAAATATGGTGGATTTTTTTTTGCAATTGTTGTAATATTTTCATATCTATTGCCCAATTTTTTTCAAAATATATGCACCAAATTTTATAGTTTCTTATACCGTTAATATTGCAAATTATAATAAAAAA